ATTCTCTACTTTTTGGTATACTTCTTGTATACGGGAGTTTTTTCTCCCTTGTACAATTTACCTTATCAAAAAAAATGCTAAGAGGCCATATAAAGATAAAGTCCATTTGCCCACAGGGATAAATTGAAACTTCATGTATTGGTCAAGCACTTCTATTTGGAACTGAAGGTGTAAACAATGTGCTATTTGTACCTGACCCCAAATTCAACATGTTCTCAGCCTCCAAACTAACCAGAGAACTCTCCTGTTCAATCAATTTTTTTCCCTGACTTTGTTTTGTTTCAGGATCTCTACATTAGCAGGGTGGAGGGGATATTGGTAAGGAGAATGCAGATACGTGCATATACAAGGAAGCAGGAGACAATAATAAAGCCAAAACACATCGACGGGCTGCAAATGGGAGTGGAGAAGATTGCAAATTATGGCACATGAGGCTTGGTCATCCTTCAGGTATTGTTATGAAGACTATGAGCCTAGGAAGTTCTGTAGATAATGATTTATTGAATAAATGTGCCATAATCTGCAATCTTCTCCACTCACTAGATAATGATTTGTTGAATAAATGTCCAATCCGTCCATTAGCTAAACAGACTAGGTTTCCTACTAGTAGTTCCAGAGCTGAATTTATTTTCTTTTGTTCATATGGATCTTTGGGGACCTTATAAAGTTGCTACATTTGATAAGAAATACTATTTCTTGACTGTTGTGGATGACTTCAGTGGATATACATGGGTGTATATGTTGCAACTCAAATCTGAAGCCATATTAGCAATTAAAACTGTTTGCTGATGATAAAGAACCAATTTGGGACAATGGTGAAGACTCTAAGGTCAGACAATGGAACAAAATTCTTTAACTCTCAATGTAATGAATTTTTGCGGAGTCTTGAGATAATACACCAAAGCAGTTGCACTCATACTCCACAATAAATGGAGTTGTGGAGGGAAAGTATACACATATTTTAGATGTAGCAAGAGCATCAAGATTTCAGTCCAAGATGCCACTCAAATATTGGGGTGTCTGTGACTGCTGCAGTATATTAGATCAACAGAACACCATCTTCAGCCATCAAAGGGAAGAGTCCTTTTGAAATGTTGCATTCTAAATCTTCATCTCTAGCTCACTTGAAGGTGAGAAGATGTCTCTGCTATGCAACTGTTGTGCCTAAAGGTGACAAGTTTGCTGCAAGAGCATGACTTGCAGTCCTTATGGGATATTCTGAGAGACGGAAGGGATATTTGTTGATGGAACTAGCCACCAAGCAATTCTTTGTAAATAGAGATGTGGTATTCAAGGAATCAGAGTTTCCTTTTACTAAAATTCAAAACTTTGTACATTCAATAGTTCCTGATGTTCATGATTTGAGCATCTAGGATGCTAAATTGCAATCAGTTACAATTGACAGTGTTACACTTGACATTGTTGAGCATCTTTAGAGTCTGAGGTTTTTTTTAAAAAAAATTCAAACCATCACCCAGAGTATGTTGCCCTGTGGTGGTGGCGGGTTTGCCATCACCCCTACCTTTTTATTAGACAATCCAAAAAAATACACGAAGAAGGACATAAATCTTAGCCCAGTATTTTTGAGAGTGCGAAGCGCAAAAAAGCGACAAGGGCTCGTCTCGCTTCAAAAGCGAAGCGCACGCTTTATTAAAGTGAAGCGCAATTCTTAAAAAACATAATGTAAAATTATAAATAATCAAAAACTTCAATTTAAAAACTTAAAAGTAGGTACTAGGTACCACCAAATCATCCACAAACCATAGGACAAGCAAAATCAAATCTACTAAATTACTAGAATCAAAATGGGGAACTTCTGGACTGGAGAAAGAAGAAAAAGAAAGAAAAAGAAGAAGCAGAAACAGACGCAGAAGAAGAAGAAGAAGAAGCAACAGAAGAATCAGAAGCAGAAGAAGAAGAAGAAGAAAAAGAAGAAGCAGAAGAAGAAGAAGCAGAAGAAGAAAGAAAAAAAAATGGCGAAGCAGTGGTCGAGCTTGACCGGAGAAGAAGAAAGGAGAAAGAAATTACTTGGACTGGAGAAGCAGTGGCCGAGCTCGAGCTTGAGAGAGAAGGGGTCAGCAATGGCGATAAACCTAGCTTTTTGTCGATGTCTCTGTTTTTGTGAGGGTCTGTTGTGACTATTTAGGGGTCTGTTTTGTATAATTAAAAAACAGACCCCAAGGTTTTTTTTTTAAAAAAGGGCCCCTACGCCATTGTAAAAGAAGCGATCGCTTCGTCGCTTCAGCCAGTGAAGCGCGCGCTTTTCAAGATCGCATCGCCTCGGGCAGCAAGAAGCGATACAGTGTCGCTTCGCGCTTAAAGCGACAAAGCGATCGCTTTTCTAAACACTGTCTTAGCCTCTAGAGATACATGGAGTGTGACTGAGACTCTAGGATAATTATGTGCATAGTCTAAATTTTCACTAAAACTAAGAGAGGACTCCCCTCTCATGTTACAGATAAAAGAGCTAGCTTTGAAATGAAAATTATATTTGAATACAACGAGAGTAGTCTTAAACATTATCAAATATGAAATGCCCCTTCTTGGACCTGATTCTAAAGCGGATAAAGCCATTTTGATCATTTTTCAATAAAGCTTTAGTCTTTCGTGGCAAGGTCATAGCTTGTGTGAAGAATCTCTTATGTTTAGTCTCCACTCCAATGTTAGCAAGCAAGTCCGCAACAAAATTAGCCTCCCTATAAAAGTGACCAACTTGAACTTGCCCTTGAATCATCAGGTATCTGATTTGATGGATATAATCCTTGAGGTATGACTGAATCTTGTTCTCCCCCTTTAGTCATTCTAAGTAGTAATAAGGAGTCAGTTTCTAGAGCAGGAATCAGTAGCTCAAGATGAAGAGATGCTACGTGGAGAGTCATTACAAGAACAGGATTCACAGGAAGCAACCACTTCAGCACCAACACAAAGTGTTCCTCCTCTTATTAGAAAATCCACAAGGGAATCTAAGGAGCCTATTTGGATGAAGAATTATGTGGCCCCCAACAAAGTATCTAGCAAACATCCCTTGGGCAACTACCTATCCGATGACAACACTACTCCAACTTATCATAGCTACCTAGCTAAATTCTCAGACTTTGGTAGAGCCACAGACCTTCAAACAGGCAGCAAAGGATGCCAGGTGGATCAAGGCAATGCAATAGGAGATTTAAGCCTTGGACCGTGGGATCTAAATGGATATACAAGATTAAGTACAGCCAATGAGGAATTAAAAGATTTAAATCTAGGTTAGTTGCAAAATGCTATGGTCAACAAGAAGAGCTTGACTATCATGACATCTTCTCTCATGTGCCCAAGATAGTCACAATGAGATCTGTTATAGCACTGGCTGTCTCTAGAGGCTGAACTTTGTACCAAATAAATGTTTACAATGCTTTTTTACAAGGTGATCCTTGTAAAGACGTGTACATGGAGATGCCAACAGGCATTAAGAAGCAGGACTCAAGCAAGCCTCCAGGCAGTGGAACATCAAATTGACAGATGTTTTACTTGCAGCAGGTTTCACTCATAGTAGCCATGACTATTCTCTGTTTACATTGAAGAAACAAGGAGGAATGGTAATTATTCTGGTATATGTTGATGATTTACTAATCACAGAGAGTAATGAGGAGTTGATCCGTTAGGCCAAGCAGGTACTGCATCAAAATTCAAGATCAAGGATTTAGATGAACTTAAATATTTTCTGGGCATTGAAGTCTTAAGGTCTAAGTCTGGTGTCATTCTAAATCAGAGAAAGTATGTGCTTGAGCTTATTTTTGAAATGGGACAGCCAAACCTGATGTTACCTCCATGGAAACAAACTTGAGATTAACCACAGCAGAATATGATGAAGCAACTGGTGATGTAGGAGATGTGATTCTCAAGGATATTGGTTTATATCAAAGGTTGATTGGGAAGTTAATGTATGTCACAATCACCAGGCCAAACATTAGTTATGCCTTCCAAAACTTGAGTCGGTTTATGCAAAGACCAAAAGGGTCACACTAGGAAGCTGCACGTAGGGTGGTCAGGTATTTGAAAATGATCCAAACCAAGGAGTTTGGCTGAAAGCAGTCCTGTACCTGAATTGAGTTGTTGGTGTGATACTGTTTGGGCAGCCTGTTCCAATACAAGAGGTCCGTTACAGGGTGTGTGATCAAATTTGGTAATTCCCTGATTTCTTGGAAATCGAAAAAATAACAAACAGTATTTAGTAGTTCAGCTGAAGCTGAATATAGAAGCATGGCTTCAGCTGTAGCAGAGGTCACCTGGTTAAATGGCATGTTCAAGGAGTTAGTGGTTGACATTAAGGTTCCTATTACTGCGCAAAGTGACAGCAAATTTGCTATGCAAATAGTAGCTAATCATATCTTCCATTAGCAACAAACATATAGAAATTCATTGTCACTTTATTCGAGATAAGATCAAGGATGGCATGGTCAAGACAGTGTATGTGAACACTAAGGATCAGCTGGCAGATTTGCTCACTAAGGGATTGAGTAAGACTCAATCTCTATACCTTCTAGGCAAGCTTGGTGTGCTTAACATCCTGCACCCTTCTAGGCAGCTTGAGGGAGAATATTATGAGATTTGGTCTCATATAGAGTGTATATGTGGCAATGCTTCATTGGTGGTGACTAATTCTTATGTGACAAGACATGTATAAGTTAGTTAGTTGGGTTAGTCAATTTGTTAGAAAGACAGTTAGCTTAGCTTTTGTATATAAGCTCTTAGCTGTGTATAATCAAGTTGGTGGTTATCATATTCATCTCACACATTCCTTCCTCATTTCTCTTCTTCTAGAAGCTTCCGCCATTAGAGAGCTTTGAAGCTCATACTCTTGCTCACTGATTGTCGTATATTTTAGCAAGTGTCTTATAAAATAGAACTGCAACAGTTATACTTATACATTAAGAAGTGCAACACTGACTTTAAATTCTGAATTTGTTTCGCGACATGAGTGTACCAAATTTAGTCAAATAAAGCAAAACGAAGCTAACCCGAAGGACTGAGGGAGAAGTAGGAGGCCAGGGAGTCCAAGCGAATCAGAAGGATGCTGAAGAAGGAATCTATTCCGGTAAGACAGATCCGAGGGATCAACTGAAGTATTGCCGGCGGTGGTGGCGGCGGCGGAGGAGACGGTATCGGCTAGGAGACGAGGGAGATGCTCAGCGGCGACAGGATCATCGAACAGGTCTTCGCCGAACAAAAGATCTGTAGGGTCGAAACGGAGCGGAGTTTCGATGTGAAGAGAAGGTCGACATAGTCTCATGACCCTAAAGGCCAGAGAATGTGGACCTTGCGTACTGCTCATCTTCATCTAGATTTCGATTCGCTGTGGCTTCTGTGAATTCTTTTTCCTCTCTCGAATGATTTCTGAAGGCAATTTTCCTTCGAGGAAGGAAAGGGGGAGCATAAAGGATTACAAAATTGGAGTATCAATTATGAAGGGAAAATACTTTTTTTTTCTTTTAAATGAAGTGTTTAGCTAATTTTTTTTTTTTTTTTGGAAGTAATTTTGGAGAATCAGAAAAAAATATCTTCAATCCGAAATAACTTTTTTGAAAAGCATATTTGACAAAACACAATTAAAAATTATTTTTAAAAGTTTGATCAAACATTAATTACTGTTGAAAAGTGCTTTTCAAATTAATTAGTCACACACAAATTATTTCTCGTGAAAAGTACTTTTGAAAAAAAATCATTTTTCAAAATAAATTAATTTTTGCAGCTTGGCCAAATAGGCTATAAATTTGCAAATCGGTACGTTGTGAAATTGTTTATTTTTTTTCCTTTATTTATTACACTTTTGATTCATTTATCTTTATCATTAGCAACTTGTGAATATTTGTCTTAGCTCATCACAAAATGTGTGCATTTGAGTATGATATTAAATTAGGCTTAGGCCGACCAATATTTAGAGCAAATGTTCAATCGAGAAAAAATTGGTTATTTTCAAAAATACAAAAGTATATTCAGTGAAGGGTCTGATTTGTCATTCTACTATCATAAATAGACCTTATTTTCCGTTTGAGTTTCTTATCAAAAATATTCCCACCATTATACATTAGTTGCACATTTATCCCTTACCCGTTAAAAACACCCTCCCAGATTTTTAAGGAGCACGTGGCATCCTTTTATTGGACCAACTAACCCGCCCCAACTTTTAATTAAAACCCGTCCGACCCAACCAATAAACTTAGACCCATCGGTACAATTTTGTCCATTTTCCCATCGTGCTTTTCATCTACCTCGGAAAGAAAATACCTAGGGTTCATTCCCATCACTGTTTGCAGCTCCATTGTAAAGTCTTTCTTTCCCATTTGCTTTCTTCTTAACTTCATACATTGTGTTGTGAAGGTTTTCCACCATAACAAGTTTCCTCATGTCAGGAAGTAGTTATTCATCAAAGATGAGGTGCCATTGTGGGGAAATTGCCAACCACTTCACTTCAACGACTCCATATAATTCCGGAAGGAGATTCTTTAAGTGCCATAAACCTGATGTATGTATTATTTCTTTTATTTTGGTTCCATTTAATTTTTCGATAATTTAAGTTTTTCCCTTGTATTAGTGGTTCATAATTATAAGTTGTAAGCTTTGTGTTGGTAGGTAAGCTCGTGCGGTTATTGGGAATGGCAAAATGATGTGTTACCATATTGAGCGCTCATTACAATTAACAATATGAATTACAAATTAGATGCCGCTTGTTATACCCCATTTTAACACGGGTCAAATTAGAGTATAACATATTGGTAATTTTGTGGGTTTAATTAGTTAAAGAGAGTCGCCACCTAATTATTTTAACGGTGAATTAGGACACCAATTTTAGCTAAATAGTGCTTAAAATTAACTCTGTTCTATGGTCTACTAAACCTTTAAGGCTATGGGTAATGGTTCTAATTAATCTTATAGAGAAGGTATTAAACACTCTATATGATCCATTAAATATGGTTAACCGGTCAAACTTAGGTTAATTAAGGCTAAGGCTAAATATAAGTAATAAAAGGATTAGTAAATAATGAAATACTCAATTTTAGTAAGCACGCTGGTACTCGTTAAAATTTAACAGTGATTAAATCAAAAGACACACAATGAATTAGTTCCAAATGTATAAAGAAAATAGAAATCATAAGCATGTCAGGTGGGCGAATTATGTCTATTATTTGTATTGTTTAAAGAAAACTAATTTTTTACTAGAAGTAATTTGAAAGTCAAGGATATAAAAAAATCAACCGAACAAAAGAATGAATTTCAAATATTGTAGGTGACTTAGAAAACAAACTTGCATTGATTAGCACTTTTATAAAAAAAAGGAAAGTAAGCATGAAGTAAAGTAGAAATATTTTCCATGTGAAATATTAAGCTGATTTTAAAGGACTTTAATAGATTTAATATGACTAAATGTAACTAAATGTTAAATCTATCATTCCATACCTAACACCATGTTTTATATTAATAGATTGGGATTTTATTACTACTCAAATTAAGGCCTACTACCCAGATTAAGACTTGACTGTGATAAAACAAATAATCAAGACATACATATAAAATGTAGGTCATCAGAAAGTGTATCTTAAGCAAAAATAGATAGAATAATAAATAATCTTCTATTCAATTTAATTAGGAAGAAGAATCCTGCGGTTATGCTATTGGAGGAAGCCACGAGAGAGTAATGCTTGGTTCGGCTTTGACAGCGGTAGAGTCTCGCTTGAGACTCTTTGTTGCTCCGGCGTATATGGTATGCAAAGAAAAAGAAAGTAAAAAGAACAAATTAACAGAGGACTTAAATCTTCAACAAGCATAAAGAGAATGAGACAATGAAGCTAGGCGAAGACAAAATTGCATTGAGTATGTATCCTAATTATTATAGAGATAAGGAACAAATTTAAAAAAAAAAAATTCAAATAGGATACATGTTGCAAGTAAATGATGTTTTTATAAAACTTAAGAACGTAATATTTACCTAGCAAATATACTTGTAAGGATCTAAGAATGATCTTTAGCTACCACTCTAAGAAATACTATGGGCATACTATATATATATATGTCACTTTAACATGCTTCCGATCAGTTGAGTCAAGCTACTGCTACTCCATATAATATTTAATTGATTAATTTAAAAGTAACAAGTTCTCTTAACAAGATCCATGTTCACATACTATTTAAAACAGTGAATCATTTTCTTAAACAATATTTTAGCAGAGTACTTCTTCCTTATGACATTTAAATAAGTAAATAGTGGCTAATCCATAAAAATTCATGGCCTACAAACATGGTTCTTAAATAGCTGAAAACGACATATTACCTAAAGGTTTAATAATAGGATGTACTATGAGCAAATTCCATATGCAAGTTCATATGAGAATGTAGTTAAACACATGTCATTCTTATTCAAACTTTCTATTGCCAGAATACGCAATGAACCACAAATCATGGTTTTTCAATAAAATAATTCCTAAAGCATGATTTCTACATAGAAAGCAAGTCATATTCTTAAGCAAGCATTTATTCTGGAACTCAAAAATAAAAATTAAAAAAAAAGGGAGAAGGAAATTTTAAGGCTACAGACCTGCTTGGGGGCAGTGAACTGAGGGCGGTGTCAAGAAAATCTACTATCACCGGCTTTTGATCAACTTCGTTTGAAGATCGTCAAATACCGACATAAATAAATTGAAAGCTTTGGCATGGCTCTAGTTTTTGGGTAAAAGGGGCGGCTAAGGGCTTAAGGTTAAAGAAGGGGGCCGAAGCTTGTGGGTTTAAAGAGAGGTGCAACGGCTCCGAAAGCTCTTTTTTCCAATATATTTCAAATGCAAGTATTTATAGGTGAAGAAGTAGGGTTCATGGGCGGGATTTTTACCTCTAACGTTTGAAATTAAGAGCGTGAGGTTTCGAACAGTAAAATAGTCGTTCATCATTTAATGAGAAGATTTGTTTCAGATTTGCTTGAGACTTTGAGCAGATTTGTTTCAAATTAATACCCAAAATGGTTGGGATGTTGTGCAGCAAGAAAAAAGAAAAAATGGAGAAACTCCATGTGAGCAAAGAGAGAGAAAAGATCCCAATTTAGACTTCTTGGCATTGGATTTGAGGCGAGAATTCATTGTAATTAAATAAAAATTTGAAATCCAAAAGAGAGATACTTTAGTGATTTTGAATTTCAAAAAAAATTTGAAACGGTAGTGCTACCGTTCTACCGAAGCTTCACTAAATGGTGTGACATAATATCTGTCATAGAAATTTAAAGTAGGCAATATATTATGTTAATTGAAAAGACGACAATGTGATTTGGAAAGTCAAAAAGTTTTTTTGAGGAAAGAGATTGCTTTACATGTGAAAAGAGAGAGGGGCTATTCTTTTGGCTATATCTAATTAGGGGTACAAAAGTAATTGCGCTAAAAAAATAATCTAGAAACAAAGAGTTGGTCATTTGATCATTAGCAGATCGGATAGAATTGGTGTGTCATTTGGAGTAATTTGGGCTTGTAGAATTAGTAGAAAATATTGGGCTATTAACTAGGCCAAATTTCCTTTCTTCCTTCCAAATTCTTTGGGCTTCTAATAGTCAATAATAATATTAAAAAAATAACTAACTTATTTATTATACCTATTCACAATTACTAATATTTAAATAAAATATTAATCGTAAGATACTACAATATTTATTAAATATAATTTCATAATATTTAAAAGTTAATTGCAAAAAATATTTTCACTAGTGATATAAATGAAATAAAAATGCTTTTCGTGAAATGTAACAATAAATACGATTAAGGTATGAATGATAAAGACGATAGCTATAGAATTATTATTATTATTAATAATAATAATAATAATGATAATAATAATAATAATAATAGCTATAATAGTTTTAATAATAATAATAAATAGGCATAGTTTGTGTAAATAATATAGTAGAATAACTACCTTATATTATTAGTGATAATAGAAGCTTACAGAAATAATTTGGAAGAAAGGAGAGACAAAATTGAATGTCAACACCGCTAATGTTAAACTCAACAATATGAAGTCGACTTGGATACGATTTGAAAGGGACAGATTAAAGGAAAGAGTGGATGGCTTGAAGGCTTTAAAGAATTTGGAAGCGAACAAAGCCCGTAAATTGAAAGAGAAAGTCCTAAATATGAAAATCGTCATTATGATTTTATGGGCAATATTTATAGGATTTGTTGCTGCAATGCTAATGAACTGAAGTTGATATATGAAGTGCAACATTCAAGTTTTTGTATTGGTACTTAAGTTGTAAACAATGAAGTGTTTTAGTGATGTTTTAACTTGGTATTGGTACCAAGTCCTAAATATAAAGTCTTAACTTAGTGCCTTATTTCTGGGATATTAGGAAGTGTTTCCAGGTTCTTTAGTTCTGTTTTCAAATAGTGAACTTGGTGTATTAACTTCTTTTGCACTTGGTAATTGTAAACTTAGTTCT